AATACATATTACATTGCGCTCTAAAGAAAAACAAAATTAATATGTCCAGTTAAAGAACTTTTGAACTTTCACAAATTCGTAGAAAAATGTCAAAGTGCCGCTATGGTAAAGGTCGTAAAATGCGTTAATCAAATCGTATGGAACTGAAAGTATTTTAATTCCAAAAGAATCGGCAGAATATTGTAATTTCCCTAACTATGTTCGATTCTGAACTAGCCACTAGTATAAATATATATGTAGTTTGATGGTTAATGGAAAAATATTTGCATCTAAATAGTTATGTGCACTTTTCGATGCTTTATTTATTCATTCATTTATTATGTATTGAAACTTGAAAATATTTCTAGCTACTCATCATTCGGATGAATAATAATAGATAAGTTTGTTTGTGAAGTCACATTTTGTATCTTGATTGGACACATTGCTGATGCATTGCTACGTCGGCGTTGTCGCGCTCACAAAAACACATGTCTAAACATGTGTCCTGTTACAATGCACCTAGCGTAACTAAATCAATGTCTAATGTGTATACGTAGTTGCTATTTATTAGGTAAATGTAAAAGAATCAGCGTTGCAAGAGTCAAAGTTCCGATTGCTACTTCAGGGAAACAATTTTGTAGTTTTTTCCAAAGTTTGAAAAGCTTGCACCTTATACATATGTGTAGGTATTAATATATGTAATTATTGTGTCATCAGCTATCCCAGTTACAGGACAATAACGCGTTTTTCTGGCGTTTTTATTCACTAATGTCTTAGTAAAGTCGAATAAAATATTGCAAAGCTTTAAAGCCTTTAAAAACTAAATCTTGTCTTGTCCTACATTTTTGAATGAATAATAGTTAATTCATAATTTGCCAATTAATTATTCCAAGGAACTCATTGCAGTGCTTTATCCAAAAAAAGGTCTTTAAGTAATAAAACTAAAGCGTTGATTTTACCGATCACAATAAAATTCCACAAATACCTACGGAGTTATACTTAAGTATAGAAATAAATACTTTTGCTACTGGCAATTATTTCGAATTAATTTAAGCCACGAGCGATTAAGCAATTAAGAAGTTAGCATTTGGCTTGTAGTTTACATAAATATTCTAGAAAATGGTTGTTCTGAAAAACTTATTTTGTAGGAGAGCCAGCCGGCATATTATTTGTGTTAAGTTGTTTAACATATTTATATAAGTATATGAAATCTTAGCTTTTCGTGTTTTAAATGTTCTTATATTTTTATAATAATTTCTGAATGAATTATGTAAGTGAACTCATCCGAAAAATTCAACTGTCTAGAAACAATAAATTCTATTATTACACATGACAACCACTATGCAAGCAGTTTGAATTTTGTTTATTCAACGATATTAATACACATAATCGTTTAAATTCATTTGTTGAATAACAACAATCGTGTTTACAACACTCGATAACAAAGTTCAATAGCTTTTGTAAGTTTAAAAACTATCTCTATATGTTTATGTTCTTTTCGAATACTACACTTACATGTATATTATGTTGAAATTGTGGCTTTCTTTCTTTTTTTTTTCATAACTTTCTTACCTTGATAATTGTTTCGTCAGTTTATAGCTTCATTAGATTTTAGACAATTACTTTTTCACTTGTTTCTTTTACTTCTGAAGAAGCCACAGAGGCGAAATAATTATGAAGGCAATAATAACAAAGGGTGCAAATTATAAATGGTTTTAATTTTGAATGAACAACAAGAGAAGTTTAAATGTTTACTATTTCAGAAGGTACAACGTCCAAATAAATATCATTATGTTTACAATTTATTATGCAAATTATGCCTGAGTCACCTACATTGTTAACCAAAATAGTTTTTTGGATTAATAATGGACTTTATTAAAAGCAGAATGTAACCTTTTTTATGTTCAATCTTTGTTGCTTTTGAATGTTACTAGACGCTTTGCTTTTATCGTAATAAGGAAGCGACATGTCGGAAACAAATCTTATACGTATAGTAAGTCTGCGTGTTCTATTTAAGAGTATGATGAACTACTATAAACTGTGTACTCAACCCCATCTGCAGGATATTGCTGCATATTGTGGAATTAAAAACTTTTGTAGCAATATTCTGCAGATGGCGTTGAGACGTTGATTCCAGTGATTCATAAAACGCTGTAAACTATTTGTTATCAAAAAAAGTAGAAACGATAGTTCTAATTATTGTAGGACGTCTTTTTCTTCAAAAACTTCTTAGACAAATACTGGGTAATATTGTTGTTGAACTTTGGATTCTGTCTATAAAGTGATAATGAATGACTAAAGGGGTAATTCAACTGATTTAATGTAATCACTGACGCGTTTATGGAAGGCGAGTTATTTTGTTTACAGGAAGCTTTTATGCAATGTCAGTTTAAATATTGTAAATGCTTTAGATGTCCGTATTTCATATTCATGTCGGAGGGAAAACATTCATGTTTTTCATCGGTGAGGATATTAAGCAAACCTTCTTTTCCACAAAAAAATGAAAATTGAATACTCTAAGGTAGCTCTCTAAAAGCTCATGTCAGTTTTGGTATAAAAGAACACATATTCTCGTTTGATTTTACTCTCAAAAATGTTTTATTTATTGAATTAATATTACATTATAGACATTAATTTTAACAAATCTCCATACGTGTTTGTGTACGTACGTATATTATGCTAAAATTTTATAATTAATAATCAACGACTTGACGAGGTCGTACATTATCCAAGGTGAAAAGTTGTTGTGCAAGGACTAAATTTGGGAATATAAGTTGCTCGTTTATTTGGAAAACAAGCTAAATTTCTTCAAAAAAACAGTCAATTAAAAAGCTTAATTTTCGTTTTGTTTCCTTTGGGCGGTTGTGTTTATAAATAATAATTGTTATTAGTTTATTGAACGGGATTGATTATTGATTTATACCTTCATCGGATTATAAAAAGGGTGTTGTGTTATATTATGCAAGTTTTTTTGTTCGTCGATTCCGTCGCAAACTAAAAAAGGTCAACAAAACAAATTATAGCCGGCAAAATGGACGTCAGAAACTTAATTGCAGTCATTAAAAAATACAAACTGTAAATATGAGCGGGCACAACAGAGAAGAGCTTACATTAATCTTGGTTTGAAATAAAAACATGAGCAATTTTTAACTTTATTGTATAAATAGGTTGATGGAAAATGAAAATATAACCCACCTAAACGTACATTTTTTTCTATAATTAGTTATTTATTAATATACAATCCATGTCGTAGTCCACTTTAAATATGTGAAAGTTATGCAGCCAAATGAACATGCATGTACAGAGTACAGTAGTGAGTAGGTGTATGGGTTTTAGAAGATACTACAAATGGCGCAATAAACGCCATCTGTAGTACGATGCTACATTTTTAGGATTACGTATGCTCCAACAAGGTCCACTTGTGTGGATATCTACTTGCTGAAAACGAATCCCGGCCAACCTCAACGTGATAGGCACGTTATCTTAATCGAATAAAGTAATTCGAAGTGGTCTGTATTCGAAACTGCCAGACGCGGATCGCAATTTCGATCTTTTTGGATCTCATCAGCGCGTCGATTCGCATCGTGCTACAGATGGCGTTTACGGCGCCATTTGTAGTATCTTCTAAAACGCACTGTTAAGACAGTAAAAGGTAAAGGTAAAAGTTGGTCTGTGTTCTGTCGGAGCTGCCTGCGACGCGCTGATGAGATCTAAAAAGATCGAAATCGCGATCCGCGTCTGGCAGTTTCGACAGAATACAGACCACTTCGAATCATTTTATTAGGTGTATGGGTTTAATGTGGCTGCAGCATATGCAGCGAGAACATTATGTTTCTCTGATATACTATTCATAATTTTCTGTGTGCCAAAGTTTCTGTTTATGCATTTCTCCTAAAGAATCAGAAGAAAAATTCGTTTCTGTATAGTCAGTTCCCTTTTCCGTCTTATCCTTAAGTCTTCTTTCAATACGTCGTTTTCTCGCCGCGGTAGGAGAATATATTTTTAGGAAAATACCCTCCGCTCGATTGATTTTTTGAAAAAAAGAAAACCAGGAAATATCGCCAACAAATTTAAATTAAGTAGTTATCAAATAATGACGGTACCTACAGAATTCATACAAAGAAAGCACATTCCCATTTCGTGACTATCGAACTTAAAAATACATTATTTAAATCGTTTAAGTAAATGTTGTTGTTTCATAAATAAGGCTTAGTAAAGCGATACGCATCAGAAGAAGAAGAATTTTATAACGACGGTCGTCAAGGTAATTCCGATAGTTGGAAATGTATTAACAAAATTAAAATCCTTTAAAATTCAAGGTAGAATGGTCATTAACACGACTGCTTTCGAAAAACCTGCTCAATATTACCAATGCACTAATATCTATCTCTATCGTGTTGGCCAACTCGAAAGTTTATTTCTGATATCCACGTGAATATTTAAAGACTGCTCTGTACGACCCAGAACACTTACAAATAATATAAATAATTCGTGTTTGATGAATTTATGATGTACATAACATATATTTTAACGGCCTAAATTACATGAGTTAGATTTTTTTATAGCTCTTCTGTATGTTTTTAAAACTTTATAAATTATTTTTATCATTATATGATTAAGCAGAAGCGAAATGCTTCAGTAATTGTGAATTAAAAGTGAGATGATGGTATCAGTATTTTATAGTCATCTAGGCGAAGGCCTTGATAATAATTTTGTTAACTACATTTTTATCTCTCAAATTACCTGCCTGCAAATTTGCACTATCTTATCAACTTAACTCATGTGTTTGCCGAGCAATATTTTATACATTATAATTTTAAGGTCTTTATTTTATAAACGTACATATTTATATTTGTGGATCCATACTCAAATATAGAGGGTATGTTTTGCATTAAAACTTAAAAAATCATGGCAGTCAAGGTGTTACATACGTAAACATATACTTTTGTACGAATATTTAATTGTAAATTTTTATTTTTCTTTTTTTTTTTTAAGTTTCACGAATGCTGTATTTTTTTCAGGTTCCTCCAAAATGACTATGTGCACTATTTCTACAATAACTTCCCACGCTCATTGTAAAGACCGCAGAGCAGATCGTAGGGTAATTGGGGGTAAACGGGTGGCCGCAAAAAATTTACCCGGAAAAATTCGAGCTGCTACCCGAAGAAGTTTAGATCCATGCGATAATTCCAACGACAGTGGTTTAGGGTATATTTATTTAATTTTTTTTTATCTTTAATAAGATTAATTTTTTCATTTTTTGGCGTTAAGGCATCCAAATGATCGATTGTGTCAAGGTATCAAAAGTTGAAATTAATTGATTGCGTATTATTTGATTTGAGAGCAAATTGATCGAATTTCAACCACACACTATTTAAATTAATTCTCGGCTTTTTTGCACTCTGTGTAATAACTCGGAAAAAGTGGTAAACAATTTTCTTTTTCCTTCATTCTTTGTCATTCAAAATATTTACCGGTTTTATAAATATGCATGTTTGTAAGAAGAATATTTTATATATTCTTAAAATTTACAAATATGCAAATTAAATGGACAAACGTATAAATATAGATACAAATAAAGTAAAAGCGCCTTTGAAAATTTCAGTAATATTTATTGAGGTATGTATTATGTGAAATATTAAAACTGTTAGAAACATTCTGTTGGTAAATACGTTCATTAGATATACAAATTAAAATTACTACAGGTCTTTTGCAATTTAAATGTCTTTAGCTCTACAAGTTTTCCATTGTAAATTAAAAAGTTTGTGATGGTAAATGTAGAAAAATACGAACTAAGGAAGAAAGTCAATTTCTCCTTTGTTATGC